AGATATAGAATCTACATCCATCCTTATCCTCTTAAGAGAGAAACATCATCAATGCTAACATCTCTTAGGATGGTGCATGCACATGGGCTGTCCATAATGGCAATACCCAAAACTACAAACAAGGGCCCACATTCTATCATGGAGCCCACATGAACTGCACTTCAAAATTCTCCCAGGGTGAACAACTTTCCACTAGGGCTTCATTTGTCGTCGTATAGACAAACACCGGTTCCTGAGTCAGCTATTAAGATTTCTGACTCATCCCTTTTCTTTCTGTTTCGTCTTTGATGGAACGTAAACAAGATTGAAAGGTGGTTTTGTTCATGAGATCGAAGATTGGAACGTACACAAGATTGCAAGGTGGTTTTGTTCATGAGATCGAAGATTAGATTAGATTCATGTAAGATAGACCTACCACTTCCATTGCTTATTACATGTACAGATAGACTGATCATATACATATATCAGGCAAAAAACATTGCTTTTTTTCACATTTAGATGTATCTGAAGAAAATCCCATCCTATCTATTTCGAAACCAAAGCTTAAAATATTTTCATAAATTAAACTAATTTGATATAAATATATCAGATTTTCCAAAAAAAAAGAAGTCAATAGATAACTCGAATCTGACACCTTCTTGCAAACTGAGCTAACTACTCAGGTGCGGACCTACAGCTCCCAACCGACTAAAAGGATAATTCTCGACAGAAATGGTTGTCACTTTAAATTACTTGCTGGAGGTTACTATGTCTTAATTTTATGATAAAGTGGATATAATGGTCCCTAGAACTGCTGGTGTGACCCCTCAGTCACAGCTATAACCCATTAAAAACATCTCTTTTCATTCATGTGGGCTGCCTCTGGTCTGCCCATTTTGAGTGTTCGGTCTGTGACGATGCCCAGTGTGGGTGCCACAGACGTTTGGAACAGATAAAAGGGTTAATTTTACCTGTTCATCTGGACATTTTGAGTCCAAATGCATGAGAAAGTACTGTTCTTCTCTTTTTCTCAAATTTAGGATAGCTTGCTTAAAAGATTATTGCCCAAATAAAACTTGAGAACTAGAGATTAGTCTAATGTACTAACACCAAACCTAGAGCCAATGCTTTGCTATTTTAAATTTAGTTTTAAAGCTCTCTCGTTGTCACCCATCTTCCATTGTCTCTGAATTGACATCACCTCATGATTCATCTCCCAGTATATAATATACCCTATGGCCCTTCTTCTTTAATTTCTTTAATTGCGTTTTTTTCCTTCCTGATTGCGATTACGAGTTAAAACCTCACCTGGAAAGACTTTTTTTATTTGTAAAGAGCTTGATCAGATGACATCAGTCTACTTGTTTTACATGGACATATACGTATTTTTATAGTCTGGTTCGTCGATATCCCAATCCGTAGCCAATGATTTAAACAGAATGGAATTTCGTTTCTTGGTTTGACCTCTTATCTAAATGAGCCTTGTGACAGTGACAATCACCCAAAAATCAGAAGCAGCCAATTCCTTCCTGGCACCCACACCAACCTTTTTCAAAACCTTATCTTCCTAGGAGCTGTTTTTTATGCAGTCCCATTGATGATGGTGTTTGATAGCTATGGGGGTACTATTTAAACAGATAGAGACGACTCAAAGATAGCTTTTTATCTTTGAAAATTGGTTAAGTAGAGACGTATCAGTTACAAAATATATTAGCAGAATCATATCCCAAAAAGTCCAAGCGGCTTGTATATATCTTGAGCATACAAAGCGAGGTTATAGTAAAAAGTCGGTCTTCATACGTATTAGACTTAAAAAATAGGTCATCAAAAACTAAACATTTGAATGGCTGAGGTGAATATAAAGTTTGCATCTTTAATATTATTTGGAAAAAGAAGTTTTTACTGACATACGAGTTGATCTAAGAATATTTTCACTGTCCAATTAAAAAACAAAAAACTAAAACATTTATGAAGCTTTTAAACCTGATATGTATGATTAGTCTTTCTATAAACATGTTTGTCTGCTTAATTTGATCATAAAAATTAACCAAGAATTTACTTAATATATCATGAACTAATTCATGTAATTTTTCTTAATTTTGACATGAATTCAAACCATACAACAAATAAATTAAATTAAGAATGAGCTTCATCAAACATAAAAACTTGGATCGCAACAATTGAAAGATCCTAAGTTCAACTTCAAAACAGGTACTTTGGTCCATAAACGAGGCTAAGATTAGTTGAATCGCTAAAAAAGAATAACTAAGGACCACCATAAAAAATGACCGTTAAAGAGCACTTAATGGAGGGATCCGCTTCTCAAGTGGGTATTTTAGTAAAGCCATTGTTTATACTTTGTCTTTGAGATTGATTAGAGAGAGTGGTTTAGTTGATTTGAAATATGATCCGTTAAAAAAAATCAAATTGCTATATTTTTTAGTTTTTGTTAATAAGTCGAAGTAATTTAATTTAAAAAACCAAACTTTTTTCAACTCAAATCTCCTCATTCAAACAAAGATAATATATAACGCTTCTAATGATTAACGATCATTTTCAATTCATTATAAATATTAACCTCATATCATTTTGAGGATATTTTAGTGTAAAAACCTCTCAACTCTCAATCAATGACCATTTTCACGTCATTATGGGAAGATATGAAGGGATTTCAACTTTTTTATCCTTCGCAAAAAATTCATCTTCAATTCACTATATAAGTATCAACTTCATGTCATTGTAAAAGAATTCCAATATTTTTATCCTTAGTAAAAACTTCTAACTCTCTTTTAAATCACTCTCATCACACACTACATCTTTTAAAACTGTATTTGTTTGATTGTGCTTCACTAACACTTATTACTTCTCCTTTCACACCTCTAATTATTTGCATTCATTAAGTTTAGTTAGTTGGTTATTATTTTTATAAGTCATAATATTAACTCTTTATTTGCTAATCAATCTGCTAATCGAATTTTTATCAATTAACAAAAATTTTGTTCCAACAACATGAAAGTTGATCCAAATATACAATCACATTATAAAACCAAAACTATATTGCCTTTTGTGGTTCTATGGTTTTTTTTCTTTTCTTTTCTGCAACAACATATTTTGTTAGTAAAGTTTCATAATGTGGTGTTTGGTAATTCCCGAAAAAAAAACATAACGTGATAAAAGCTTTAGAACAGGCTTTAAACAAAAACGAATACAGCTTTAAACAAAAACGAATACATTAGACATAATAATTATAAACTATGTCATTTGGTGGAGTGATGATTTCCAAACTTGTGTTCTGCAGGAGAGCATGAGAAATTTAATTATTATATATTATAGGTTGGAGCATGGGAACATGTTTACATGTTACCTTACCTATATAATTAGGGAAATGCCTACTGACAGAACCTAAATTATGAGCCTGAAATATCAAATTAAGTATAAGCAAACCTCAATTATATGGCTGTGTGTATCAAAATTATCTGCAAAGGAAGGGGAAAAAAAAACAAATAATAATGGAATCTCGTGGCTTTAGGAATAATGCAGGCATAATTTAATAGATAAATGCAATAAAAACAATAGGTTTAGTTATGATTGTTGAGAAGCTTGTCCAAGGGTTGTTGCCATAACGTATACTCAGGATTTAATTAATTTGGACAAACCCTGCAGAACCAAGCTGCACCACTACTAGGTTAATTAAGGTTATTGTAGTTGTATTATATTCAGTGAAATCTAATCCTAAATTTTACAATTAACAAATCGGAGAATTGTTACATGACACGTAGAAAAGCATAATTGTCCTCAAGAAAAAGATAAGGCATCGTTTGTGCTTATGCTTTTTTTATTTTTATTTATTTTTTTCCCCTCTCTTTAGAAAGCGTTATATGTGTTGCTATTTTTTTTTAAGTTTATAATAATTATGAATGCGGTCCTGTGGGACGTAATTTTGGGAATGATGAACAATAATAATAGGTACAGCCTCTAATTTAATTAGATGAATAAGACTCCTCTTGCCCTCCGGCCTTTTCGGCACTGTGAAGGTTGAATTTTCTAAAAACGCCATTTGGTCATTCCCTCCCACAGAAAAGAAATGTTCTTCAATGCTTAGCTGTCATATTTTTTTCCTTCAAAAAGTTTTTCATTATCTAACACCATTAAGGGTAACAACCTCAATAATTTTTTTCAAAAATTCACGAATCTTCATTTTAAGATTAAATATTTATTGTCTCCTGATTTAATTGCGTATCCCTCCTCGATTTTTATTTTCGTTTCTGTTTATAAACAAATTCCCCTTTGTCTTAAAAATGTCCTCCAAGTCACAGTCTAAGTAGAGCATAGGTTGTCCTTGTCCGGTCTAATTTTTCTTACTTTAAAGGTCCGGTTCATATATGAACAGTTTTCCACCAAGTGAATTACGTACCTGCAATTAAATCAAAAAACATAAACATAATTAATAAATACATAAATAAAAAATACACATACCTCGAGAAGAAACATAAACCACGGATACGGATACGGTGAATGGATGGATCACACGCACATAGCACAGAAATCCCTACCCAACGGAGTTAACAGCCACCAAACGGAGAAAACAGCGAATAGAAACCACAAACAACTCTAATTGTGATGGAAGAAACAGAAGACAACTGAAATGGCGATGGAAGAAACAGGAGAGATAATTAAGGAAAAAGAATGGCCATCTTGAAAAATTGATGGAATGGAAGTTAGTTTAATTCGCCAAGTTCTATTAGAGTTCATTCTGTTATTTTTTTTGGTGATTAAAAAATGTGAAGTCCTTGGATCCTTAATTTTTGACACTGAATAATATAGCTTTAATAACTATATACACTCAAAGGCCATGTATTATGTCTATAATCAAAAAGTCCTGTCGTCGAATTATGTGTTTCGGTCACCGGAGTAGGTAAAAAACAATCCCGTCCCGAATTCCACGCGCCACCACTGCAATCGGAGTCCAGTCCTCTTGTCGGGTGATCAAGCCAAAAAACTGGAAATTGACCAACGTACCCTCAGTCCTCAGCTTTGGACATCATTGAGAGCCGGCTAGGTCGTGGCTGGAATCCAGAGCGCCGCCGTTGTTGGTGGGAAGACGGCCGAATCAAAGTAGCGAGAGATCTTCTCACCAAATCACCTTCAACGCCGCCAATTCTCACTAGCGAATTGGTCATGGCAGATCTGCGAGCATTCAATCGATTGTTGTTTGAAGAGTAATTAGAAGATGATGCTGAACTCCCAAACCCTAAGCCTTTATGGAGACTACACCGGAATGAGCCTGGATGTGTCGTTGGCGAACACATACAAGTCCGTTTAGGAGTGCCCTGTTTTCTCACGACCTGATGATGCTGGTTCCGAGAATGATTGACGGTGGAGATTGAACGGCTTGGAGAGGTAGCATTTAAACGGACGGAGGAAGAAGAGGATGGTGAGGAGTGTCCGTACATGTTGACACGAGTAGGAGAGGCAGATCTGGAAAAGAAAGTTGATGAACGAGAGGTGAAACTGGAACTAGAGGAAGCGAAGGCGGTAGAGGAGGCGGAATACTTCGGAGACCTGGAGAAGTGCTGGTGAAATCTGCCGGAAGGAGAAAGGGAGCGGAGAACTGGTCCGCTTGAGGTTCTTCTAGAAGCAGTGGCTGTTGCCGCCATTTCAGTGGTGGTGCTTCTGGGTTTTGCAGCAGGGAGAGAGAGAGAGGAGACTCTAGAGAGAAAGAGAGAAGAGAGGTGTTTTTTTTTTTCTTTTGAGAAGAGGTGTTTGGGTACTTAATTCGGCAAACCTAGCTTCACTCAAGCGACGTATTTATAGTGAAGGGAAGGGGTTTGGGGTGTTCGATATTTCGCGATATTTTGAGGGGTTTATGAGATTTTAATTTTGGTTTTCCTTTGGACTCCCTCAAGGTTTAATTATTCACATACGGAGAAGGATTTTTTAGACTCTTTTCTGTTTTAGTTTTATTTTGGTGTATTTTTTGTATTAATTTAGCTGCGGGCTATTAATCTGGTTTTCATATAGAAATAAGTTTCCTTGTTTAATGTAGAAGTTATTAATTAATTTTTGTTTAAGGAAAACTAAAAATTAAAAAATAAGGATTTTAAAAATTATATTGAATTAAACATAATATGGAATATAGTTTTTTTAATCAAATAGTAAGAAGTACTCCTAAATCCATCGTTAAATTTGTTATTTCCACCGCATATCAATATTTATTATTATGTCATAATTAAATATATGATATATAAAAAATTTAAAATATTCATAAATATTTTTTAATTTCTTTATTTTTGTTTTTATGTATATTTAATTTTTGAATATTTTAGGTATTTGATATAAAACATATTAAACTATTATATAATAACAACTATAGTTAAAATATGATATTTATGAATTGTTTTTTCACTCACAAAATCCAAAAACATTTATTATAATAGATTGTAATTTTACAATAAATAAACAAAACAGCCCAAATAATTAATGATTTCTATGCTAGTTAAACAATGTTTTACCATCATTCAACACAATGCAATGTACCAATTGATTGTTTTTATTTTATCATAAAAGTGCCTATTGATTCTTTTTAATGCATTGAAAAAGAAGCATTCTATTTCAATGCATTGGTTTGGAGCATTGAATTTGTTACAATATAATGACCAAAATATAGTATTGATTCCTTTTTTAATATCAACACTCAATACCTAATAATGGAATTAACACAAAGGTTTTTTCCTTTTTGTTTTCAACCGACATCAATTGAACTGATTACCTAAATTGGATTCGTTCCAAATTTTATGAGCAAATACAAAGAATGTAGAACATGGCAACATGCAAACACATGATCAAATATATAAAAGAAAAAGAAACCCATCAATAATAATAATTTTTTAATTTTTGAGAAATAGCATAAGCATAGGGGCATGATTGCAAAAGCAATTAGTAGTAATTAGCATAAGTATAGAGACATGATTGCAAAAGCAATTGTCGTTGCTACTACCCTTTCAGTGTTGAAAACGTCGGAAAACCAAACCATGAGCTATGGTTGAGTTAGTTATGGGTTAGGACATAAGTAACCCAATTAGATCCAACGGTTTTCGGGAAAAAAACCTATGGGCTCTTTTCTTTCTCTCTCTGACGAAAGAAAACGATAAAGAGAGAGAAACAATGAATTTTGATCCGTTTCACTGACAGCTTTTAGAAATGCTAAAAAGGCTAGGTCTCTTGTAGGCACCCTCTCACACGCTCTTTACCCGCCACGTAACACTGACATCTATCCGCTCCAACAGATCCAAATATTTTTATTACTACTATTATTTTTAAAATTGCTATGGTTATTTCAAAAAGTCACTGTAGTTGACAGTCCCATTCAAGTTTACGAATTATTTATAAATGAATTTTTTTTATAATTTAAACACTATTTTTTTTTGTCTTTTGTAAAGTGAAAAAAAAACTTTTTTTTATTGAAATTTTACTTGATTATTCGTAATTATTATGATTACAAAGCGATTAGTTAAATCAGGAGAAGATAAAATATTTTTTTACACTTTATCTGATGAATTTATTTAACAAATCGTAATTATTTACTTATTATGAAGTGAGCAGTATTTATTTATTTTGAAAATTTTTTGAATTGTAAATATTAGTAATGAGTATAATGATGAAATGATTAGTTAAATTACTAGGTAGTGTGATAAATTTTTGCAATACAAATATATTTAATAGTTTGTAATTTGAAGGCATTATAATTATAATACTTTGAAATAACTATAGCAAACCTCCCGTTATTTCATTTCAATAATAAAATATTTTTAAATAAGTTTTTACATAATAAGAATAATATTTTTAGAGGTTAGTTTGGATCTAATCTTGTTTTACAACTTAATTTGCTATTCAAAATTTCAAATCTTAAATCACAATATTAGAAGAAAAATAAATTCTAAAAAAAAAAAAAACTAAACCTTATACCCATGCTTAGTCTAACGATTCATATGAAATAATTTTTTTATTTTATTTACCAATAATTGGATATTTTCAGATGAGGCTTAATCTTTAATATACTATTATATTATTATTTTTTTACCAAATCAACTAAAATATGTTACTATTAAAAAATAATTATAACTAATTATTTATAAATAATAAAAATTAAATCTTAATTTTAGCTAAACTAAAATATCTTTTTTTACTGCTAGACCATTTTTTTAATGATAATATGAAGTGGTTTGTTTTGGCAAAATAAAATTTGAATAATTAATTTTTTTAAAATATAATGTAACAAAGGACGGTTTCTTTCATATAGCACCTATGAACCATTGGGACACTATTCAAAGTAATTTATCAAAAAAAATTAAATATGCCATGGATGGAAAATGCATCTTAAAAAGATCATTTAAAAAAAATAATATCAATTAATACGTAAATCGATGTGAAGATGCCTTAAAAAAAAAAAAAAAGGGCTGGCGGCACGGCTCGTAAGAGTCCAAATATACAGTACTTGGTGACCAAACAGGCAGCCTGCTGTTTGTTTGTAAAAATTCTATGGGCATTGTTAGACAAATGTAGCCTCTGTAGGTGTACGTGGCATTATAAGAAGGGCTGGCATATGGTGGAGGGTCCCGGTCCTTGTTGCTGATCTTAACTAAGGGGGGCTAAGAAATTATTTATCGAACCATTCCAGACATCCTTTTTCAAACAAAAAGCAATGGAAGGTGCTCGGATTTCTTGGTGGTCCCTTTTATCAAAATTTTGCCAGACATGATAATGGTTCGGTTCGAACCATAAATCCAATCATTAAAAAGCGAATCTGAACGTTAAAATCATAATCTTGATCGAATCGGATCGTAACCGATTACCTATGAATTGATTATGATTTAAGGTATCATGAAATCGGAATCGACGAGTTTCACATCTTTTCTAATAAATTTAGGTTGGATCGAAAAAAATAAAAAAATTTAAATAAAAAACCAATTTTATATGGGCTGGATAGTAGCTATTGGACTGAAAAATGACAAAAAAAAATTAAGCCTAATAATTTTTAATTTTTGGGCTTAATATATATATATATATATGTTTGTGATCTTTTTTTCCCTATAAATACACTTTCAATTTTTTCATTCTCCTCATAATTCAATCTCTCATTCTCTCTCAATCTCTTAAACTCTTAAGTCTAGAATTCTCAATACTCGTCCTTTAATATTTTTTATACTCCAAATACTTCTTAATTTTTTTACATTTCTATTGTTTTATATTATAAAAAATGGCAAGTTCAAGTTCACATATGCCATCACAACAAAGTAATACCGTCAATCAAAATCGAGCAGAGAGCAACAACAACAATCAAATTTTACACTTAGATCATCCGACATCTTCAAAATTCATTTCTCAAAAGTTTCTTTAGAAAAAAACGTTTTTACCGTGATTTATAACTACCGCAACAAGCAATACACATTCAAACAAGGAGGTGGTTATGGAACATTCAAAACCCACTTGGAGAAAAAGCATCCATCCGTACTTGGTAATGATAAACATCAAACACAAATATCCGGGTTTGTTTCTCAATCTTCCTCTTTATTTCAATATACCGATAAAAAAACATAAAGAAAAAATGGCTAAAATGATATGTATTGATCATTTATCTTTTAGTTTTAGTCAAAAAATGAGTTTTAGTGATTATTGTTCTAACGTTTTGAATCTCGCTTTCAAACAAGTTGAAAGACATTCTTTAAAAAAAAACAGCTTATAAAATTGTATAGAGATAAAAAAAAAAAAAAAGAGAGAATTAATTGTATTATTTACAAATTTGAATGGTCGTGTTTCTATATATTCGATATATGGTCCGATCAATGGTAAACTCACTCCTTTATGGGTGTAACTTGTCATTGGATTAATAATGAATGGCACATGCAAAAACGTCTTATTGCATATAGAGTTTTTGATGATAAACATACCGCTCAAAATATATATAAGATACTAAAAAGGATTTTAGATGAATATGTTTTACCTTAAAAATATTTTTAATTTCTTTTGATAATGCTAGTTCTAATGATGCTTCAATAGACTCTTTAAAAGAACTTTGTCAATCCCATCTTGGAGGTGATTTTTTTTCATATTAGATGCGTATGTCATGTTTTAAATTTATTTGTGCAATCTGGTTTGGAATATCTTAAAGATATTGTTAGGCCAATTAAAGCTCTTGCTAAATATTTATAGGCGCATCCCCAAAAGATGAAATCATGGGCAAAGTTTTGCAAAGAAAGAAACAAAAAACCAAGATGATTTTCAAAAGATGTTCCAACTCATTGGAATTCAACTTGTGACTTACTTAAGCGATAATTTAAATATCGAGATTTATTATGCTAATTTTTTTCGGAAAATATTGATTCTCTTTTTATTTGTCAAAATGATTTTGATATTTGTGAACCACTTTTGAAACTTTTAAGTGTTTTTAACAATGCGAAGCATACACTTTTAGTGCCGTTTATCAATCAACTTCATATTTATTTATGATTGAAGCAATTAATATTGTTGAAGCTTTTAATAATGTAGAACAAGGTATGCCAACTTTACATGATGCTATTCAAATAATGAAACAAAAAAATTTAAGTTATTATGAAACAATTCCACCTATTTATCTTGTTGCTTTAGTCTTTGATCCTAGATTTAGAATGGAGGTCTTTCTGTTGTTTTGAATACTTACTATGAGTATTTGTAATTATTTGATAGAAATATAGAATTAGAAATCGCTTCTATTATAAATCGAGTTAGAAATTTACATATTGAAATGTCTTTAACTCGTGGGTGATCAACATGCTAGTTCTTCTTTACCACTTATGCCACAATCATCATCAAGTAGCCAACGGATTAGAGCCGGATATCTTATGGCTATGGAAAGGATAAAAAGACCAAGAGGATTATCGGGCTCCACTTCCGAGCTTGATATTTATCTAACAACTCGTGTTTGAGTTTGGTGATACCAATGCGAGTGTAGATTTTAAAGTAATTGATTGATGGAAAAGACATACGAGCACCTTTCCAGATCTTGTGCATAAAAGCTAGACAAATACTTGTTGTGCCGGCTTCAACAACAGTCGTTGAAAGAGCATTTAGCTCGGGGGTAATATTTTAGATGATAAGCGATCACAATTGGCTCTCAAGTCACTTGAAGCCCAAGTATGCGTGGATGATTGGATAAGAGCCGACAAGAGAACATAAGAACAAAAACAATATGATTTCAATTAAGAAAGTGTGGATCTAACACCTGACGGCACAATGACAAAAACTTCGAAGTCGAAACTTCGATCAAGAAAGCAACTAGGCGCAGCCTACATAAAACATTGGTGTAATTTGCAAAGGGGTAATTTGAAATGTAAAAGAGAACTACGTACGCTTTGATTCCTCTAGACCCCAAGAGGATACGCAGGAAGCTTAATTTTTGTAGTGTTTACAAAAATTAAGTTCAAGCCCTTTTTATTTATTTCTTTTTTCCCTTTGATTTATTGTGCGAAATACATTACAATGTAAAAAATATTATAATATTTATACATTATGCAAAAAGAAGTTTTTTCATTTCAATGTTAATGTTTGATTTATACTTGAGAAAAAATGTTCGATTTTTTTTATTTTTTCATTTAATAAAAAAACCATTGAACCGTCGGTTCCAAACGGTTTGGAATCATTGGTTTTATGGTTCCAAATCGAAACCGTAACCATCCATAGAAAGTTTGGTTCAGGTTTCACCTTTTGGTGGAACCTTAACCGACGGTTCCTAAATCGAAACCGACGGTTCGAGAACCGTTACCATTTCTAATTTTTGGTGGTTGCGGTTTGGACATTTCATTAAATTTACATTGTTTGATTGATCAGAATAATAAATATTTATAATAATCCTATCGATTTGATGGGGGTAAATATCTCCATATTTTATTATCTTTTTATTTATTAGGTTGAATTTTTAATTATATTTATTATGCCTTAAATATTATTTAAGTTTTTAATTTATTTTTTTATTAATTTTTTAAATCATAGATAAATTTTTTGATCGAAGTGCTTAAATATATATAAATAATTAAAGAGTTTGAAAATAGAACGTGCATATCATGTGACTTTAAGTAATTATTATTATTATTTTTTTTTGTATTTTAGTTAAAGGCAATTTAGTTTTTTTTAAAAAAATTTCATAATCAAAAAAATTGATTGGAATAACAAATTGAAGACTTAAACATTATTAAAAAATATCTAATAAATACAATTAAAAACATAAGAACAAATTGGATACTTAGACTTTATATAAAAATATATTTATATGTTTATTCTAATTTGTTTAGACCCTAAACCATTTGAGAAAGAAACTCGTGAATAGAGTTGACTTGAACATTGGTCATCAAAAACACAAAATGTGTTAAAAAAAGTCATTTCAACATAAATATTGTTAAGTAAGGTCCTAATATATGATTTACATTATTTTGTAGCATATTTTTTCAAGTGAAAACTTTTTTGAGCTTGAAACTTGCACACGTTTATATTATCTTGTGCTTAATTAATTAGAAAGAAATGAAAATGATGAGATTTGAACTTGTGATTATTTAGTAAAAACGATTGTGATAACGTATCAAAAAATCATTTCAATCTAAGAATTTAACTTGTTAAATGAAGTTCAAAGATATGATTTATATTATTTTCTAAAAATATAAAGATATCAACACATGAATAAGTTAAACGTGTTTTTGCACCGCAATTCATCGAAATACACAATATAAAGATATCGATTGATGAGTTAATGAAATGTGTTTTGGCATTGTAGATCATTGAAAAACATAATATAAAGATATTAACAAACAAGCTAGTAAATTGTGTTTTGGCAATGGAACGGATGGCTTGCAACATAATATTGAAAATTACAAGATTGGACACGTAGCAATAAGATAAATTAGTCGTGTGTTAGAATTGAATAAAGTCGGGCGAGTTAATTGTCCAAAGTATTTATTCTCTTATGTTTGAGGGCAATATTTTTTTTAAACTCTTATAAATATATAATGGATCGATTCAACAACAATCAATAAAAACTTATCTTTTCAATTATTTTAGTTTTAAAACATTTGAATTAGTCACTAATTTTAGTTTTAGTTATTTTCTAGTATAGATTTTTTTTATTTCAATCCGTAATTGGAACAAACTAACCATATATTTTAGTTTTTTTAATTATTTTTAGACTTCTCCTTCCAATCCATAATAAGAACGAACTAACCACAATTGTTTGATTATTTATTACGAACACCACCGATGCAATCCAATAAAAAATATTAGTATAATAATAAATAGATGGTAGACTTGTTTATTATCTTTTATTTCATCTAGATATTTATTATGAAAAAAAATTAGAAAAGTATTGTGGAAAAAAATTACATTGTTAAATTTAAACCTACCATTTAAGTAAGGTACCATTTAAGTAAGGTGTTGGGCTATTGATTTAGACCTCCTCGACCACGCACTACACCAAAAAAAGCTCTGTAGGGGCAAAATGTTTGGGGTGGTCAAGAAACCCGCCCCAAAATTTAATAATTTTATACCCACTCGCATTATAACAAAAAAAAAAAACGTGAGGTGGTTGATAAAACCACCCCACCCCATATTTTAAGCCAACACTTCTTTAATTTCTTCATCTTTTTATTTTAGGTTTTGAAAAGAAGCCGAAGTAGATTTCATCAACCTTTCACAAACTTAATCGACATCATCAACTAACAATTCTTCTTCCTTACCTTCTTCTTTTAAAAAACCACCCATTATTCTCTCCAATTTTCCAAACATGTAAAACAATCCTGGATCCACCCACCCCCACAAATCCGCCACCGTTGTTCTCCCTACCCCTTCTCGCCCACCTCAATCCTTATCTCTTCCCGGTAATGTTTCTTTCATTTCGGCTTGTTGGGTTTCCGATTCATTTTGATTTTTATCAATTAATTAATTAATTATATCTATAAATAACGACAAATCTTTATTGAGTTTTTACTCTTTTTGGTCTACTCGTGTATTGGTGTGATTTTAGATTTATGGGGTTTTTTTATTTTATTAAATTTAGCCCATGAATGATATTGTCCTATGTTGGGTTCTTCCCGTTTTCATCATATATGGTTGTTGGGTATTCCAATTTTATTTGATTCTTGTTAAAACTAATGTGAGTTTCTATACTTGAGTTCATTTGTGTGTATCAATTTATTTCTTTTATGGATTTTTTTGTCTTTAATCTTTAATGTCCGTAATGTGGGTTTATTGAGCATTTAGTGTATATAATATTGAAAGTTGAAGTGGAAGCATCTTTTCTTTGCTTGTATCGGATATGTTCACTAGATTTAAACATAATATGTTTCCTCTTATTCATCTATGCTTGTGTTTTGCTCTCGGCTTATGGTTGAATTTGAAGTTAGTGTTACTCGTCCTAATTCGATGCTTTATAAATAGAAAGGGTGCGAACCATCGGATACTTGGAGAAACTTGGCATTAAATTCTCGCACCCTCTGTTACGGTTGTGGTATATTTCCCAATTTCTCTCGTTGATAGATATAAGATTTGTATATAAACATAATATTTTGATTATGTTGATTGGAATGGAACTTTAAAGTTTATAAACAATCTTAATTGTGATCTTTTCTTGTTTTGGAAACATTGAGTTATAGATTTTTTGTCATTTTTTCATATGTTCGGTAAACACATATATGATTTGGAATTTCATAAGTGATCTACATGTAGTAATTACAAGGCGAGTAAGTTTAATACATTGGAAAGGTCGAGGATGCCAAATACTCGTAAGTTATTCATATCTCAAGATTAGTTCTTGGTTTCGTGCATTGAAATGTTAAAACTTTACAACCTCACTAAATTCTACTACTTAATTGGTTAAGATCGGTTTATTGCATTATTGTACTAAACTGTCTTGACTACTCCAAGTTGACTTGTCAAAGCTTAATGGTGAAGAGAGGAAACCAACCATGAAGATGATTAATGATGTCCGTGAGAACTTGGGTTTCTTTGAGGTACATATTTGGAGGTTTTTTTCTAGAATTCTTTTCATTTTATACGACAAAGATAGTCTCTAATGAAGTATTTTCGAAACAACTTATATGTTATGATTATAATTAATATACTAATAATGTTTTTGATGTGTTTGTAAATGAAGTTGGTGAACCATGGGCTATCTCATGATCTCTTGGACACCGTGGAGAGACTCACAAAAGAGCACTACAAGAAATGTATGGAGAAAAGGTTTAAAGAAATGGTGCCCAACAAGTGTCTCGAGGCCGCTCAATCCGAAATCAATAACTTGGATTGGGAAAGCGCTTTCTTCTGTGCATGCTAAAATCAATGACATAGTGGCCGAGTAAGGTTTAAAGAAATGATGGCATCATTTACTCTTTCAAGACGATAAGGTCGGTGGCCTCCAGCTCTTAAGGACGACCAATGGATTGATGTTCCACCCATGAACCACTCTATTATAATCAACTTAGGTGACCAATTTGAGGTATAACTATATCCACGTAATCCTTCCCGACCATTACTTTCCTTTTTTCTAGTCACTTTCAAGTTTCAACATGTGGTTTTAAAGTGTAAGAATATGTAATTGTAATCAAACCTTGAATAATAAGGGACTAGATTTTAATAGGAATGTATACCATGTTAAGGGAAGACGACTTTAACATCAATAAATTTTGGTTTCATGGCATCTTCTCAAATGTCGTTTTGCTAGCTTTGTTTAAGCGACTTTTTCTTTTAATGAGAATGACATTGTTTTATTTTTGTCATATAGATCATTACCAATGGCAAATATAAGAGTGTGATGCACGGGTGATAGCTCAAACATATGGTACCGGGAGGTCATTGTATACGTCCGACTCTAGTTTCTTGTTATGTTTGCTTATGAACAAGTGCACATGAAAGGCACTAGGGTGCGTGACGAGTACATCTCCTTGTTACTTAGCCGTTCAAAGTATAATAGGAATAGGATCCGAATTGGTTGAAGAGTTCTTGCAGTTTGACTTAGGGATTTGAGAGTTTGCACATTTAATTTCAGTTATGTCTTTTACATATAAAGGTTGGTTATTCCTTTGAATGTCTAGAATATATATATATTAGTATTGTCTTGTGTTGAGAAGACAGTGGTTGACCAACAACTCGATGATGAAATGTGAGAAATTCACAAGCTATTTTTACATCCATGATGTAGTACTCAAGTGTAAACTCTTTAAAGCAATTAGGATAGAATTTGTATCTTTGATGGTTAGTAATCCTGGAGATCCGAATTATGCTTGATTAAAGTTCGTGTGGTTTTGGTTTATTTAAAGCATTTTTTTCTTCCTCCTAAGAAAAAGTATTTTTATCTATTCAATCTTGCTAACTCTTTTGGCACTAAAACCATTTTAGAATTGTCTTATTTGAGCGGGAGCTTGACAATGTAGTGCAAGAGCTTGAAAAAGTTGCCGTTATAAATCTCCTGCAAAGCAAAGATCGACAATACCTACTCGTGTATCATATACTTTTAAGTAAATAATTAACATGTTTCTTCATCTTAAAATATTTTTAATGAGTTTTTATCCGTATTTATACTATTTTTTTTTTTACTTTTAAATTATGCTTTTGATAGGTTCGCAATGATGGTAATGGTCAAAATGCTCATTCTCCTAATCGTTCATTACAATCAAGTCATCTCGTCAAAATGAAACATTTCCATAAAAACATGATTGTTTTTTTTTTTTTTGTAAACATTAGCCACTTATTTTAAATTATATTTGAAATTTTTTTTATGTATTTAGAACAAGTGTTTAATCCTTTAGTTTTTTATTTTTATTTTTTACTTGTGAATGTTTGACAACTTTTTATGTATTTGGAATTTGATAATTACAAATTTAAGAATATCGTGTAAGCTATATAATTTTTCTTTTATTTGCATTCAACAAGATTAAATTTTTATTTATTTGTTTGTTTTTTGATAAAAAAAAAAAAAGCAATTGAATTCGAATGATGAATTATAAAATTCATATAAATTTGGAACAAAATTCATTTATTCCGCATGAATTATAAAATTTGGAATGTAGAGGTGGTTACAATCGCCTCTAAAAATTATGAATTTTATAGTTTGGGGGTTTTGAATTTGCAAACTTTCGAAACATAAAGGCGGTTCTAAACCACCTCAAAAATTACGCATCAAAAAACTCTAATGATAATATTGGTATTGTAAAGGCGGTTTGAACCGCTCCAAACAACTCGCCTCGTAAATCCCCGATGGTTGCCAAAACCGCCTCTACACCTGTAGAGATGACGGTATTGCGGACGGTCTCGGGATGGTCCTCAAAACCGCCTCTATAAGTAAAAAAAACCACTTTTAATGTTCTTTTTTGGTGTAGTGACGAGAACTCAAATCTCCTGTCCCATAAGGAGAAAAATAAAAATAAATTCGAAATGTATGATTCTAGAATTATTATTGAATTAAAAGGATGGATTAATTAATTTCTTTCATAAATTAAAAATACCAACCGATCATCGTCACAACAATAAAAAAAATATTATATAAAAAAACTACTATCAACTTCAATTACTTCTGACTTTTCACTTCAAGTTAAAATTTTAAAATTAAGGAAAAATTAGTTACATGCAACAATAAAATAAGCTTATCAAACATGTGGCACTAATCTTGATCTCATGGAATGAGCATTGACACATTCATAAATCTTTTACGTTTCTGATCAAAATTTGTAACCGGGAGCTGCGCCCACAGTCTGACTCTGAGCCAACAGTTTACAATAAAATCGAGTAAATTATAAATTATTTTTTATTTTTGATAAATAAATAAATTAGTTTCCTATTTTATAAATTATATATATTTAAAAAATTAATTAATTATCATGGTTGCTTGGCCAACCAAAGACATGGGATCATTTCGTAAGCCAATCACATCATGAAATGATGTTGAGCTAATCTCCACTAAGCACAGGATGAAACTTACAGCTACCAAATTATGATCATAAGGTTTAATACTTTAATTTTCTCCAATATGGTTGCAACTATATACAATGATGGTTGAGATTAGGTTGAAGATTTATACTTATCTTGAAAGCACTCTCACCAGCTAAATATGGTTTAATCTGTAAAACTTTTTAATTTTTTTTTAAATTAGATAATTCAAATATGTATAGAGCAGTAAAACCACAATGATACTAATAAACTTCATAATAACATTATCAATAAGTTATTAATTTAGTAATAAATAAATTGATTTTTTGATGAGTTTTTTTTGTGAATATATAGAATTCGAATATTAAAATAATATTTATTAAATAAAGTTAAATTTTATGTTTTTTCTTCAAATAAGATTAGTTTTAGAAAAAATGAAAAAAAAACTAAAACGAAAAAAAAAATAGAGAGAACGGTAAGAACACACTTCTCTTTCCCCGTAGCAAGTCGGCATGCTTACAGGAAAAGCACTAGACGCCACTTTTACATTTGATTGGCTTGGGAAGATTCTCAAAATTTCCATTGCACGACAAACGAAGATACAAAGCAAACGACACGTATCATCCATGTGGAAGCAGCTGATGCCTCATGGTGTGGGTGGCCTAATTGATTAGACTCGTGTCAACAAACTGAACCCTCTCCTATTTCACTTTATACCATACGATTCTCTCGTATAATGATTTATTTTAGGATGCTCCGTGGTAATTAATTAATCAATTAAACTCATGAAAAGGACGAACGTGTCAAGCACACTGTGGATTTTGGAAATCAAACCCAAACCACTAGGCTTTTTCCATTGCTTTCTGGCGGCCGCTAATGGTTTAAGTTTCGGTTCATGATCTTTTTTTTTTTTTTTTTGAATATATATATCTCAAATTTGAGTAAAAAGTGAATTCTAATTGTTTATGTTATTTGTGTAGTCAGTGACTCACTAAGAAGGGTTTTCATGTCATCTTCGCTTGCTTGGTGGAATTAATAAAATGCTGTGTAATATCATAATTAGAAATGAGGGACGGTACTGATCACTTTATGCAATGCTTTTTATTTATTTAATTTCTCACCGTTACGACTTGCATCCTAGTAAAAAGATGTCCCAATTTCTTGAAGCATGACTCACTCACTGCTGACTGCTGGCTATCTTCCATTTAATCATAGTGGACAGCACATAGATATAGTATAAAATGAAATTAAGAAAGAGATTATATGTACTTTTGATCTTCAAGATCAAAAAAGAACCAAAGGCGTATGATGGTAGAGATCTGTTGGAGAACAGTAATTGATTAACAAATTCAAATAACCCAAATTTGTGGATGGAGTGCAAAGTAAGTCTATCCATATCAAAGGAATGTTCATCATATCAGCTCAATGTGGGTCGTGATTAGATGAGATGGTGATTTTCATGTTATGATTGTTAATGAGATGGCTTTTAATCTACAGACAGTGCAATTATTGTAATTCTATGAGTGGTATGTTGATTCAATAGAAACTATTTGCAAAACAAATTCAAATGAAAGAAATGTTCATCAAATTAAAGTTTCGTGGGTCATGATTAGGTTCTCTTATCTCTCAATGTTTGCAACGTAGGTGGTATATGTGCTTAAAGGAGGAGTGATATTGCATTTTAAATGTAATTTTACTTTAAGTAACAAGAGTGTTTCTCAATTAAATTTTACATATTTCAAGATTAATTTATTTTTAAATATAGTTAAAAGATATTTTTTAATATATGATTTTTGATATTTTAAAAATACCAACGATAAGAATCGAAACCTTAACCTAATTTATAAATCAACATTTGTTTGTCGGTAAATAAACTACTTCTTATAATTGATGTAAGATTAAACTTGCTCTTAGGGATACAAATTAAAAGGTCAACATTATTTTTCCCCACAGATTGGTGCTGTACGCTTTCAACAATACCGTTAGGGGAGCTTTCTAAAGATATAACATCATTACATTTCAAAAATCGGAATCGATCGGTTCCCACTTATAGAAGTAAATAAAGTAAATTGGAATCATAAATATGCCTGTACGATTTATGAGTATGTTCGCAAATTTTAATGAGTTATTTCATAGCACATCAACTCAACCAAATTTTAATTTAACTGAAGTTGATTGGAAGGTGCCTCGAAGATATGCCTTTGTATTTTTATTTGGTATTAGCTACTTTCGTGGCAAAGTATAAGCTTGTTGAGTTTAACATGAAGTTTCGTCTTGTATTCAATGTTCTAGTATAATTAATATGAAAAGTGATTTCGTGATATCTAATTAAATTATATATAATAAAAAAAGAAAGAATAAAGATTTCTTGATATCAGAAGGAATTCCTAATGCTAAATACATGAGAGTCTTTTAAGTAATTAGAATGATTTGTTATATAGCATTTTAGTGAATAAAAGTTTCTTTTTTATCACTAATTATTATTTCTACCTCATTAACAGTTGTCTAGAAAGATTTTTTCTTATTTTCTTATACAAATTAGTTTTAATTTCTAAATTATTTATTAAATTTTTAAACGGAAGTAATTAATATTTTTCTACTATGTGTGGTATGAAATTTTTTATATAAAAAAGAAACATATTTCAATGTTAGAAAGTAATATAAAATAATTTTTATATTTTTATCTAACTCTTTAAGTTTTTGGTTTGAGATTGACCAAAAAATTATAAATTTAAATTTTACTACTTTTATTATTTTAATTAAATTAAAATAATTAAATACAAAACAAAAATAATATAAAAATATTTTTTAACATGTCGTTTAATAGTTTAAGTTTAATGTTAATCCTTCTCTCAACAATTCAACCTTTCTTATTACTTACTCCAAGTCTTAGGGCATTTTATAGATTTTCAAAAAAAAAACTTCGAAGTGCTTAAGCCTTAAGATTTCATTTAAAAGAGTGAGAAACATCATTATATATAGTGGGATCTACGTAGAAGATCTTTTATTGGGACCAATATATCTGTGGACCATTTGGTTGCACCCTTCGCCTTTGTTACGTTAAATGAGATTATAAATATCTTAACCAAGTATTAAAGTAAAAGAAAATCTTATCTCCTGGATTCGTCAAGTGTTCCATCACAACTTATGATGCATGTCTTTCTTTAAGACTACCTCAAAAAAGAATAATATTGAAGGAATCAAAAGGAAAAGCAACTTCATGGAGAAGATTACTTTAACTTAATTTGCCAGAAAAACTTATCTCCGTTCCACAAATGGGCACGATCTAGAAGATATGAAAGAATTTTCTGAGATTTAAAGAACACGCACGATTATAAATTTTACACGAAAAGTTGATATTGCTGTATAGGGTTTGATAAGAAATTATTTTTCCTCTTGATAAAAAGAAATAATGATAAGAAATTGCATGCAGCATGTGGGTCTTGACTCAGGACGATATAGAACCATCTCTCATGGGGGGACCAAACAGACCAGCCATAAAGCCACAACCTCACAGTAGCCAGCCACCCACACTGGAAATCCTTTTCTTTTTCTCGTTCTATTTGTTTGATTTTTTTCTGATATCTCTGCCAAATTAGACCAATGAACCATTAAAGACTTGATGGGAAATTGGGTCAACCATGTGCATTACTTGTCTGCTATATTTTTCTTTCCCTTTCAATTCAACTTGTTTGAACAAGCACAATGATTCTAGTCTGCAAAAACGCGTTGGGAATATCCTTTATTCACAAGATTCTCTCATTATAGAAGTTTTGAAGATGATTTAGTTTCATATAATGCTCCCAAATTAATAATGTTGGTTTGTTTGTTTTTATTAAAAAATAATATAAATTATATCGTCAAATTTTATTTAATGATTTAAGTTTTTAGATGAGATGATCGTTTAACGTAATATCAAAACTTTAATAACTAAACACATGAATTCGAATCTCAATATTTTTATTTTTTTAATTAATTAAGCACAATATAAAATTGAAATGTGCAACTTTCAGGCCGTAATATTTATTTATGTAAGTTTTAAATTTTAAAAAATTTTATTTAAAATAATATATTAAAGAATAATATAAATTATATTTTATATCTCTTAATATTTATAATTTTTGAGTGACAGTTTTCTCTTATTGATAAGTTTTTTCTTAAACTCTTTTTCTATCATTGTGAAAATTTGCTTAGATGTTTAAGTGATTATGCGGTGACAATCCCAATATTTTGGGGGATATGCATGACCAATAATGAGTGGCCCTGAACTTTTTTTTTTCTTTTTTTCTTGGTCCTTGCTTTTGTAACTTCAAGTAATAAAAATGAAAAGCCAACTAAGAGGGAATTAGGAGCATGTCTTCAAGTCGAAGATTTATTATGATAATTCTAGTACGAATATTATTGCTTCTTTCTTGTCTTTTGTAGACGTTGTCATCGAGGGAACTTTTTCTATCTGGTATGTTTGAAGACAAATTGGAAACATGTCTAATACAATAATTTTAGCATCTGTGGATTCTTTCGAGAATTAAGGATTGTTTTGTAGCGAAATTTTTTATTATGACTTCAGGATAGAAAAACCATGTTTATCATAATAAGAATTGAAAGATAAACCGTTACTTAACACTCCAATACATCATTTATATGGACAGTTTATTGGTTTAATTTTATGTCATTCATAGTTCCATTATCTATATTCTTGTTTTTTTTTTTTCAAATATCAAATATATTGTTCATGTATTGATTAATTTTTTTACCTTATTAATTTTATGAAAAAAAATTATAATATTTTTTGGCCTAATTTGTTGCTAACTAATAAATGTCTATTAAAAAAAAAGTATTCGGCCAATCATCAAGTTGATTGGTTGTTCAGTTCAAATGATTCTATCAGAATTAATTCATTGCATTGACGGTTTTTTCACAAACTAAACCAGTTTATATCTTAATATATTAATCCATCAATTCAAATATGGCTGATTCGATTTTGGTTGGAAAACATTGTAGTTTTTTTTAACCAGTTTATATCTTAATTTATCGAGCCAAATAAGGCTGATTTGATCTGGTTTCGAGAACATTATACGGTTTTGAGAACATTGAAAAAACCGATTAAGGTTTTTTTTTTTTTTTTTTTTTTTTTTTGGGTTCCAAGCCAATTGGGTTCGAGTACAGTACTTGCTACTCAAGACAAATTTCCTGATTGCAAAGTCATCAAAGATGACTTCTATTTTTTCAACTGGAGGAACTAGTAGTTCTTTAACTTTTATGCGGCTGTCAAGTATATTGTCTGCAAATGGAACAGTTTAACGTCCACGCAAATGCAACGAAATCATCCACTTGCAATGTGGTCCTTGGCAGGAAATTAAAATTTGCCCTAAATAGCAACTGGTTTTGAAAACTGCGGCATCTACGTTAATAAGAGGAGTAAATGTTCTTCCGCATGGTGTGGGAACCCACAATTTTTGGAGTTCGAAGGTCCTCCTTTTAATGTCTAGTTTCTCCCTCCATGCTTCCTCTTTAACAGGTCAAATGGTCAAATCTTTTTATAATTCTGACGTTTGACTCTGCATATTTCTTGGGGAGGAGAATTAGTCTTTGCCGCTCTTATTAAGCCATGTGCAGAACCTTGTTCCCTCTGGCTGCTGCTACCTTTTATAACCCAATCTCGGACGAAACACACTGTTTTTAAGGAACCCACAGTTTCATTTCGTCAGTCAATTCCCGTCCTAACATGGAAAATCACCAAATTGGAATGAAGAATGATCAACCATGAAAGCATAGGAAATCTAATGAGAAAAAGCATCACAAAGAATGAGTTCCCACGGATCAAAAACCGTCTCTTTAGTTAGTTAATTGAACTCCAATATTATTTGCGATCTCTTTAGTTAGTTAATTAAACTCCAGTATTATTTGCTATCTGTCGTGATAAACATAAACTTTATTATTATTATTTACCATATATAGATAGACCTGTATGGTAAGCATAAACTTTTATTATTATTATTATTATTATTATTACCATAGGTAGGAGCTCCATCCCACGGCGAGATACTAATTTTTTTTTTATCCAATTTAAAAAATCAACTTCTTTATTGTTGTTGTTTCAAACTCTAATGTATCATATAAACATACATGATAAATTTTAGTCAATAACAATTTATCATTTGTTAAGGTAAGTTTAAATTGGATGATTGAATTTATAACGTGGTAAATTATTCGCTTACCATTTGTCAAGGTGAGTCAAAATTGAATTATTGAATCGGTTACGTACCAAGCTATTATTAGTTATAATTTGTTACGTGTGTTTATGTGATATATTAGGATTTGAAACAATAATAATATAATATTAGAATTTTTAAAATTAAACAAAAAAAAACTTAGAATTTTAATAAAAAAATCCGAATTATATGAGATTTCGATAAATATAAAATCTGTAATAATTATTGAAACATAAATAAAAATTATATTATCATGATAAATTAAATTAATCATTACTGCAAAAATAATGAATTATTCTGACTTTTTTTTATAATGAGTTTTATTTAAACTCAAATACTCTGAATCCGTGATTTTTCAATTTAAAATAAAATCTTAATAGCATTGAATTCATTGTTTTGAAATTTGGCTCCTTTTGAACCTCTAATTAATTCCCATGTAGTTTCTTCTTTTCCAAATTAGTGAATGTAGGGCTATTTTGTTTAACAGCGTAAATTTATTGTAGCCTTTGTACTGCACCTTCTAGCAATCAAATGGGACATTACGGTCTTCTAGTACAATATTGTATAATATCATGAAAACGTCTCATTTAAAATGGAGCTTAGCATCATAATTTTTATTAGGAAAATAATTAATAAATGTAACTCTTCTTGACGGACATCTGATCTCCCACCTTATGGTTGACGTGAAAGGCTCTGTACGTATATCAAGTTGCTTTCTTATCAGAATTGTCTCCGTCTTGGAAAAAAGCAGGTAAGCTGAGATCATTCAACTTGACCGACATCTTTTCTTTTTATTCTCCTCTCTCACTCTTCTGTTTTTATAATTTTCAGTTACTTTCTTGAATTCCTTAATAAGAGTGGTCGATCAGAACCCATTTAATCAAATACCAATGAGCCCATATATATTTAGATCCGAAAACCCATACTTCATGGATAATTAGTAGCCTAAGATAATTTGTGAAAATAAGAATTTATTCAGTAATTAAGAAATTAGTATACATGAGAAGTGAGTGTGGTTCGGTTTGTGTGTGTATATATATATTAGTACTGGTATTCTTGCGGACTTCCATTCCTCCTTCAAGAAATCAAGGAGCCCAAGATTTTGCAAAAGCTTTTCAACTTCTTTCACATAAAAAATAAAGAAAAATTGCTGTGTCAAATACATACAAAACGCATTGCTAATGGAGTTTTATTATTTATGGTGCTCGATGAATCTCAGAGCCACATAGGGTTAATAAAGTCCTGATGCATCAGACTCATTGACAAGCAATTAATTAACATAATTATGTACATAAATCCTCATATATACAAACCAGAACAACTGCAAAATCTCCTGATCTAATTCAAACAACGTTAAAAAAATAATAATAAAAAAATAACAACCTAATTTCTTGAATCTAACAAAACTAAGATCAAGAAACAGCAACCCCATCTCTATCAGCATTCATTAGGCAGAACCTGGCAGGTCTACCAAATTTCTTGAATCTAACAAAACTAAGATCAAGAAACAGCAACCCCATCTCTATTAGCGTTCATCAGGCAGAACCTGGTGGGTCTTGGCTGGAACTCCCTCCTCCTGTGAAGATCATGACTGGATGGCTTGATAATCTGTAGCAAGATTGTCTTGAATGAATTTGCTTTGGCAACCACACTCAATTCCCATTTAGTATTCGACCCAACACGATCAGTTCTTGATCCTGCAGACACCCTACGGAAATTCTTGTGCATGCTGCACCTGAATGATCCAGGATGCGTGGTGGGTGAACATAGGCATGTCCTGGTTTGTTGCTGTGTGCGCAACTTCGGAAAAGGTACATGTCTAGATGCCATGTAAGGTAAGATAGTTTTACCGCAGAAGAGAGAAACTGCTATAATTGATCTGTTTCTTGTGAGGCAAACTAATCCGAGGTTGGATTTCTGCCGACTTTTATAGCTTCCTTTGGGTCTTGATGACCTTTGATTTGGTACTCGATGACAACCTGGTTAAGTGGTACGTAGTGTGATAATGTTAAATATTGTTGGATTAAAGTATTAAACACGACTTTTGGATGAGTGAATCTACTTTACCTGAACTCACCGGAAATTTCTGATCTAGTCATACACATTGGCTATCTACTGTATTTATTCATAATAAATATATATATATATATATATATATATATATATATATATATATATGACTTTTCAAAGATTGTTATTTTCTCTATCCCAAAAAAATCGTTTTTTTTTTATACAGTTTTAAAAAATTATTAACTGTTATATTAATTTAAGGGGGAAAAAAATCTAAAATTAAGGTGGTAAATGAAAAAATTATTAAGTTAATTAACAATATTAAATTTAAAATAATTGTAGAAAATTAACATTCTAATAAAAATATTTTACTATCAAACTTTTGACATGCGGTGAAATTCATAGTAAAATGAATATATTTTTTTATGTGACAAGAAATTTATATATTAAAAATATTTGTATATATAAGGAAAAAAATACAAAGAATATTGATTTTTTTGTTAGTAAAGAACAAAACATAAAAGAAATAATCGATTTTCTTTATCAATTAAGTGAATTTTAGAAAAAATAAATTATTTAATGTTTTAACTAGATAAGCTTTTGGGGACAAAAATAAATAAAAAATGAGATAATTTCTTTGGGATAAAAAAATAATTGTTATGCCATGTTAATATTTTTTGTTCATACTTATCTAAAATATATATTTTTTTATAATTATATTCAGATAATTTTTTTACAAAATGAAATTTAATTAAGAGTATTTGAAAAATTGTATTATTTAAAATTAGATATATAAAAAATAGTTAGTCTTTTTAGAACGAAAAATCACGTATTATTAGGGTTTTCAATTTCAATTTTCAAATTTGAAAACGACGGAAATGAATCCATTTCTGTTTGGTATTGTGGTTTGAGTACATTTCAAAGTGCATTTATGTTGAAAATATTGGACGTTTTTCGATCTTTTCGATATGAGGATATAAAAATCATAAAAAAAATATTTGCGTTTGTAATTTGAAATCTATCGGACCTCCGGCTGAGAAAACAAAAAAATATGGGTGAAAATATTTCTCTCTTTTAAAGAGGGAACTAACTTTAAATTCAAGACCCAGGTGCTGTCATTGTCCCTTCAAAACCCAAAAAAGGACCACTTCTTTTGATTTTGATTTTTCTGCTTCTAATATGAAGGCTTAGGGGTACAAGATTGGCCTTGAGGTCCAAATCATTGACATTTGCGAGTTCACTCTACTGATCAAGACTTGTTGGGCGGCAAGAAATCTGTAGCAATCTAAATTGCCTTCTCAAGTAAGTTTTCATACCATCCTTTTTTACAATCAGGACCATAAAAACACGAAACCCCAAGTCACAAGCCAGCTTTATCCCTTCTTGCAGGCCCCAGAATTTAGCTACATAAATTGGCCTCTCCCCAACATTCAATTTCAATGAATTTGATACCCAAAATGGATTCTTCTTTGGATAAGATCAGAATAATTTTCTTAATCGATTTGAGGCCAAGTTAGCGCACGTAGAGCAGCAAATTTGTCTAGCCAAAAGTTGGTGCTAAACTTGAATATACATGCTTTAGGTCGATCATCATCTGGGTTCACGCAATAAGCAGATTTTGCTAAACTTGACCAAAAGTAACTGTTAAGTTGGTTTTGTGCTACAGCTACAAGAGAGAGGCAACCGTGAGGATTAAGCCCAGCAGAGACCTGCCTTGCCACCTTCCTTATTTATCAGAGATCACAAATTTCAGACGAGTAGCCAAGTCTCAAAAGGGCAAAAAACCACAAAGCAAGGAAGTAAGTAATTGGAATTGATTAAGACAAATCACCAAACTATAGGACCACACGAGACATTCTGGTTAGATACCAAATTGTCACATGAACTGGTCTTTGAACTGGGACCAGTGTCTCACAAGATTTGTTCAAGAGTCTATATAATTTGTCATTTATTATGATGATGGGTAAGGCTCAAGGGATCCCACATTTTAACTTTCACTCAAAGTTTTACAAGTGTTTGTGTGTGGGGAAGGTAGTCCTAGCTAGTGGATGGATTTTTCGATCAAAAAGCTTTCATTGATGTTGATTGACAGCAAGACATGTAATCCGTTTGTCCATAGGGTAATACACAGAGTACTGTTACGTGATGTCGTTTCTATAAAATCTTACAGCCCATATTGTCAGCCTCTGCTGGTATTTGGTCAAGGAAATGAATTCCAGCTGGGGATCATTCATTGAACGACTACGAGAAAGAATATCCAGAGGAAATCGATCCCATGAGGTCCTTTTTCTTGTTCTATCATCAAACACTTGAATACCCAGTTGCGCAAGCTATGATGGCTTAGCCCTCTTATTTTGAAACCATCAAAAGCTTCAAACCTCAAACACCTGCAAAATGATCTTTTGGAGTGTAAACATGATCTCAATCATACATAATTTACTAGCTTCAGAACTTTTTGCAAATACCAAGCCCATCTGCCTGGAAAAACCAGGGCGCACCCTCCTGGAGATGGATTCCAGGCACATAAGAGCTGAAGGACTTGATCCCAGGCACACGTAACATGGTCAGGAACTCGTCTGTTACAAATAAAAATCAAATTTTGACAAACGCAGACAAACACATCTGCTTGCTCGTTCCATATTAGTAAACACAGGACATTAAACAAAAAACAGGCTCCATATGAGAACAAGGGCAAGAAATTGTAACTCTCTTCTTAAAGGTGGCAAATAAGTCATCACCATTGGTAATACTCCTAATAATACTCCAGCCTATGGCTGATAGGATAATGTACAAAAATATTGGATGGCAAACGATCCAAGATATGCACAAGAAATAATTAGCAACCTCATAACTAGATCATGGAATCTCAGGATGCCTTACTTCCCAGGACCTTCCAAGGAGCTAGACATGAACTGCTTGGTATATACACGATGCCTTCTCTCTCTTGCATAAATTACCCAGAAGATCAGTGACAGCATTACAGCAGCAGATACAATAACTAGCCCAATGTATATCCATTGTGTATATCGCCGCAAATCAGGACAATAAGAATGGGTGATCTCAGTGAATGTTTCTCGCACAAAAGTGCAGTCTTCAAGGCCAACCAAGAATGGACCATAACGATTCAACCCATAACTTAGGTTTACTGCAGAATCCATCTGGTTGTACAAGCTGGGAGTAAGCCGACCAGGCGTAGTACAAATCCCAGATGGTGAAACCTCACAGATATAACTCTTCCACACCTGCTCGATACAGAAAACAAAAATGGTCAGCCTTTCTTCATCATACTCTTAATACATTGCGGATCAGGTGAACTTCGCATGCAGAAGCTGACCAAGGAGTTCCTGAACTGAAATTTATAAACTTAATCAAAATTTAAAAGCACATAAATATACAGAAACGAGAGAATTGCTCCCAAAATATCACTTTGAAACTCTGGCACCACAAGTTAAACAGCTAGAAACTGAGCAAGATTTTGGAATTTTCATGATAGGGAAATCTTCAACATAGGCTAAAAAATAAGATGATGCATTACACTCCAGGCCAAGATCAAAACTAAAAATTGAATCTAATATGCCATCTGTTAGTGAGATGTAGTACTATTGGTGGCCATTACTTCAGCAAATCCTATGTATAAAATGCCTTTCAGCTTTTCTATTTACACTATGCATGTTCACATATATTACCTGGCTAGCATTGCTTAAGTCCACTTCACCAGCAGCACATTGCCTATCTGTATAATCAGAATTAAATGGGTTGCAAAGTAGAGGCATTGGCGGACCAGACTGATTGTAATATAGAGGTCCTGCTTGGCGTGGGAAATTTCTGTTGGAGATATTGCTGATGACGTTATCAACAACATTGACTAGTTGGTAGGTTGTCTCCTTGGTCTGCCTCAAGGTTTCTTGAGCAGTTCTGTTGTCTACACAAGGGATTATATCATCCAAAGCTGTTTTAGCAGTGGGATTCTGAACCCACTGATCCATAGAAACACAAGAATCGGCAACCACACTGGCAGATAAACAAACAAATGCATTTAGGGACACGTACTCAGCAAAGCAGCACAACAACACATGAATTCTGACATACAAGCCCACTGTACTATCATAAAAAACAACACTTTCAAATACTTTCCAAGTCCAATACTTTCAAATGCAAGAGATAAAGTATTCCCAGACACAATGTGTCTCTTTACACGCATGTGTGAGAGGATCGACATGCTTAAAAAAGAAGATAATTTTGCTTTTAAAGAGAGAGCTTCAAAGCTGTACTGTTTATATCATTGATTCTAAATGACACTAGCTTCAATTAACTGGAGAGCATGTTATTAAACTAACTTTATAAAGGTGTAAAGTTATTCAAGTGCGAAGAGGCAGCTTCAGTAGACCTGATATTGAAAGAAAATACTTTTTTCAGAAATCTCAGGAGTACGCATTTCTTATGGAATTGGAAATGAGTTTCTTATGAATTTCCTAAGTACTTGTTTCTTATGAATTTCCTGAATACAGCCAGCTTTGTCGTTTCTTTGGTTCTTAGCATGAAAATTTTAATTATTCCTATTCCTGGTCTGCTTTACATTGTATAGCTACAAGCATAAATTTCCTCTAAAATACGAACTGAAGAAAGAATCATTAGCAACAAAATCAGCAACATTCATTCAGTCATCAATCCAATGGTTCTCAAAATAACATTAGAAAACTCATGAAAGTTTCTTGAAAGCTTTTATTTATCGGCATCTAATACTTATTTCAATCCTTTCTCCCTCTATCTTCATTTGATAGATCACAGATTATTTATCATCTTCCAGTTTTCATCTCCAGCCTGGTCCTGCAACTATAATTTTAATGGAAACCTATTTCTTGCTTAAAACTAATCCTAAAAGCACAACGGTAACTAGAAAAAAAGAGCGCAGCCTTTAAGACATATTTTCAATCTGATTCTGCCAGAAAATGACACTGTGTGAATCATTTTAACCCCCTCTATAAGCTTCTCGAGTGACATACAAAAGACCAAATCTAATTTATTAACAGCAGAAATAATAAAAATTCTAGCCCCAAAAAAACTGGTTTCATAGGGCCAAAGACACATGCGAAAGATAATCATCAGACTTGTAACTGCAAGTGTGTGTTTGCGTGTGTATATGGAAATCTACAATTAAGACTAAGAAGCTCCATACGCCAGAATGATGCAACAACACAACTACAAAAGCATGTGTGTGTGTACAGACATCAACAATTAAGTTCAAGAAGCTTTATGCGCCAGCATGATGCAACAACACAACTACAAGTGTGTGCTTGCGTATATGCATCCACACACCAGAGTGTATGTACTACACATCTAAACATAGATTTGATTCAACAATTTTTTTTTTTCAAAGAAAACACTAAGCATAAACTCTATGCATTTCATGACCCTACAACAGAAAATTTATAAGAAATTAAAGTTAAAAGAATAGGAGGAAGAACTTACTTGTGGAGGAGAAGGAATACACCACACAAAACAAATGTGCCCGTAACAAGAATCCAGCCAAGGATCACCAGGCTACAGTCAATAAACAGTAACATTGTGAAAAATTCATAACTCCTAACATACAATTTTTTTTCAAGTTCAAAAAAATTAACAGAAAATGGCTCAAATATCAGATCACTCACAAGTAAACAAGACATTGCATACCAAAAATGGAGAATACTGCAACCAACGTCACCATAGAAACAATATACAAAAATAATTTAGTTATAATAGATCAAACAATTAAAAAATTTCCACCTCTAATCCAAGAAAACAAAACTTACAAAATCCAAGAAATGCCAAAGCAAGCATTACAGCAGCAAGGATAATGAGGGCCAGTCTCCTGCAATTCGCAATAAAAAGTAAATGCAATTATGAAAAATTCCAAAACCAAGCAAGCACCAGAAGTTTTAAGAGCATTTACTGACACGCTATCCAAAACATCTTGTATGCCTTCCGAATTCTTCTGTGTAGTACTGGAAAGAGTAGTACCAGAGGAGTTGATCTTTGTTTGAATGCTATCAATGCCATTTCGGACACTGACTGGCAGAAAAACTGACTCTACAGCAGCATTCTTAGCCGCAGCAAGAAAACCTGACACATTCCTGAGGTTCTCGGCAGTAACATTTGCCTGATTAACTACATATTCCAATGTGTGTGTTGTAATACTGTGAAACTTCCCTTGGCCAGTATACAGAACAACACATCCTGCACTGTAATTGGAGAACAACATTCAGGGCGTCATAAAATAGTTAATCAAAACAAATGCATGTAAATAGAGCCCAAGGGAGAAAGAGAGACGATTACATTGCAGCAATGGTAAATAAAATGAGCAAAATTAGAGACAGGGCGTAGCACGCTCTAGAATAGCCATAAGGCTCTCTTGGGCAACAGCAATAGCAGAGGCAGATAAAGGACAAGCTTAATCCAAATATCACAAACCAAACTGCAGCGACAATAAAGAATGGAGCCGCAGTAAAACCAACAGACTGCATCATTAAAGTGAAAATTAGTCCAGAGAATTGAACAGTTATCATCCTAGACAATCATAACAGATCATCAGAATTATGAAATAACTGAAAACATATTTGACAAGCATTCTCAAAATAAAATAAAAAACACAAGACGAATAGACAGTGGGAAACCAAATCAAATCCCAAATAAGAAAATCCAAATGAATGAAACATTTTTTTCTGTGAAAAGTGCACATAATTGAGAAGTAAAATAGTAATAACAACAAAACGTTATCAGTATTCAGATTCCTTAAAAAAAAAACAAAAATTGAGAATATGAGTTATTCTGAAAAAAAAAAAAAAAAAAAAAACTTAAGAAGCCATCCATCCTTAAAACACCATTACACAAATAATAAGGAATTAAAAAAAAAAACACCAATAACTACCAAACAATCAGTAGCATATATCCATTTTACAACATCACAATTAATCAAGGGGAAAAAAACTACAAAACTTTATAAACACCCCACTAAGAAAATGGATAAATTTGGTTATAATAAATAAAACAGAAAAAAGAAAGAACTCACAGCCCAGTAATGTTTATTGCTGATATTATAACCAGAAGTGTAGAGTTTAAAGTTCTCTAAAGGATCTCTCCTTCTTGTTCTCTTTGCAGCCAATATCATAGAAGATGTTGTGTTCTGTTCTTCTGCAAGATGCCTCCTTGCCTCCCATGAAACCACCACACCACCATTCTCTCTCTCACCGACCACAACATCTACATTGACAAAACAAGAAAGTTACTCCTGTTACCATAAAATATATATATATATACGAAGATTGAAACTTTTTCACTAAAAACATAATTTTAGCAAAGAAAAGATTAAGAAACAAAATATTTTATTAGTTATTTAAAAATTAATTACCTGAAATGGGAAAGGATTGAAAATGGGAAGTTGCAGAACTGCGAGTTGCTGTTGAAGAAGTAAACAGAGAGAAAAAGAAAACAAAGCTCAGGAGAAAAAACAATGGTGGGTTTGATCTGTGATTACATGACATGGTGTTTCTTTTTTTGAGTGTTTCAGTTTCTTTCTTTGTTTCAAGGCGTTGGCTCTGGTTGTGGTTGGTTTTTATGTACGTGTCTGAGAGAGAAGAAGTAGAGAGACAGGAAAGAGAGATGAGGCAGTGTTGTGTCCGTGTGTAAATACTTCTACTTTATAGGGTATTTCTGGGATATTAAGAATTAACGGTTAAGAAAAACACATTTATTAATTTAAACAAAAGGTTTTATACGTTTATTTGTCGGTAATTATTCTATGGACAAGAATACCCTTTTGCTGGGGTTTTTTTAAAGTTGTTTTTCATTGTAGTGGTCGCGAGTTTCCTAGAATGAAGGTGCTTTTGTCATGGACAAGTTTTCATGGCTTTTTTTTTTTTTGGGAAAATTGTTATGATTTTTAAGATTTTATGGTGATGCTATTTTTTTTTTTTTTAAATCTAGTGATTTTATAAATCATCTATCCAGAAAATGGTTTGCTTGTTACTTTTTTTTTTTTTAGTTTACCTCTTTCAATGTACTAAGGATTTGTAAGAAAATTTTTATAATATTTAAAAAATATTTAGTGTGTATATGTACAATATATTTCATGGATCCATTTTTGAAAATAAAGATAGACACATAAAAAAAAATTATATCGAAGCTCATAAAAAATGATAAAAAAATTTCACATTGGCTCAATTATTTTTTTTTAATTTTCTCTTTTTTATTTTTTTATGTCTATTTCTTTTTTATGGAATTACTCATTGAGTATTATAAAATTTCTCACTTGTACTACAATGTATAATTTTTTTTAATTTATTTTATTTATCAAATTTTATAATATATATTCTAAAGACACATGTCGATTAACTTACTTAGAAAAATTCACTTATATAAATTATTGATTTATTTCCATAATTGTGTTAAACTATGATCTGTAATTTAATATTGTTGAACATAGAAAATTAAATTATTCTAATTATATCAATAAACATGTTTCTTGGGACACATGAGATTGATTTATGGGATTGGTTTTATATAAATCGTTACCCATTTATTTGGACTTTGATAAATCAATCTCATTGTGATTTACAGTTAACGATTTAGTAAATATGCACCTGATAGGCGTATAAAATCACTTTTCCAGCTAAAACTTGATACAAATTTTGGGTATATAAAACCTTTGTGTGCACTGAAAGCTTATTTTATGAAACTTGATGTAAAGTATTAAATATGTTTTTTTATCACAAAAAAATGTGTGTAAAAAAAAATTACGAGTCAATTTCACAGAAAAAGTTATCTCATGTGTCCATCCAACCAGAAATTGGATTCAATCCAAACATTGTTCAAAAAAAAAAAAAATCAATCTAATTTTAGGTTAAGGTGTAGAAATTAGATTAAGTCTTAATTAATCCAATCCCAAGTAAATTATAAAATAATATTTTTAGTTTTTTATTTTAAAAATTATTATTTAGTTTTTTGACTACTATTAATTATTTTTATTTAATAAAATGTGTTTATTTTTCATCAATCTTTTTATATATTTTCTATTTTTTTAAAATAAAAAATTAAAAAAAAGTTATAAGTAGACTTAAGAATATAAAAATTAAATAATTAATTTTTATAAAAAAAACTAATTAATTCATTTCTCAAAACTAGAGAGACTAATTTATAATTTACTCATCCAATTCTTAATAGTCCCAAAAAAAAAAATACCTTGGGGGAGGGATATGTCTTTTCACAGTGTCTTTTTTTTTTTTTTAATTACTTTATAGTTTTGATCAGTCCATTGTATTAATAAACAAACCAAACTTGTTAGTAGTGTTACGATCAATATACATTTCAAAACGTAATGGACAGAACTTTATCCTTTTTGAAACCGACAGCTTTTGAGGAGATTTCAATAAGAAATTTTAAATATAATAAGTCAATTAGGCTGTAATTTAAAAAGAAAAAAATAGAAAAATATATGTTCACCCCTAAAAAATTTAGGGGTATTTCACTTTGGCTCCTTTATTGAAATTGCCTCAAGTAAATATTGCTAATTACTTTTAACTAACATAAAACTTCTCAAAATAACTAAATAAATAAAAAAATTTTGAAAAAATGAAAAAGATTATGTAAAAAAGCGTGCCCACCTTTTAATTGCAAATACCATTTCAAGAACATGGGTGATACTGAAAATTTTTTAAACTACGAAGATTGATATTGAGAAACTTTAAAATTACACATATACGAACATTTCTTAATCTATCAAAACCGCATACAAATTTAAAAATATTTATAGAATAATTAAAAACCTATTTTAAAAAAATAGATAGATATAAAAAGAAAATTACATCTCTTCAAAATAGATAGATATAAAAAAAATTACATCTCGATCCATTAAAAGTTATAAAATATTCCATTTAAGTTCGATTTTTCTCAAAAAAAATATATTTTTTATTTTTTTTGTTTGCATCTATTTCTGTATTTTTAATTATTTTAGATAAAAAGATTTAAAAGTTCTTAAGCCCATCAAACAAACAGACAAACCATCCACAGACAAAGATACACGGCGGCATCCCTTCAATCAGCATCCCTCACTCTCCCACCTCCTGAGGAAAGCAACCATGACTCTCTCTCTCTCTCTCTCTCTCTCTCTGCATCATCTGGGCCAAGAAATTTTTGAATACTTCTTTTTATATTTCTCGTTAATGAAGAGAACGTGGCAGTGTGTGCTTCAAATTTTATAGGTTTGCTTGTCGCATTGTGACCTCCCAGTTGTCAATCTCACTGACTCCGAAAACTAACGTGTCTACCCACCACATTTTCTTTAGGCTTTGCTTAGCTCAGAAAAGTTATTTATTTATGGGCTTTTTCGTTTATGTTTTGATTTTAGTATTTTAGGGTTTGGACTGCCATAAGTGTTGAGTTGTGGCATTTTTTTCCCTCTCCTTTCCTTCTAATTAAGTTTTACGTGTCGGTTTGTTTGATACGTTTGGATCACTAATTAGTTCTTGTATGTGAATGAGACATTTTTCTGTTTTTTTAATCGAATCTGATCTTTTCTTCACCTACTAGCAATGTTGTTTAGGACAAAAAAAGAAAAAAGAAAATAGAAGTGCCGTCTTTAAGAGAAGAAAATTGTTTCGGACTTATTTCTTTTGACACAAAAAAAGGAATTTATTTTGTATTTTTAACGTGGCAGGTTCAATATTATTATACTAACTTCAAAGGATCAAGAAATAGAGATAATGAATTGGATAAGAAGAAAGAAATCGAAAGGACAAATGACAGAAAACAACGTTAGCATATTATGACCATCTGCTTGCTAATTTGCGGATGATATTTTTGTTAGTGAGTGATTATTATGAAATAAATTCCAACTCAAATCTTCAATTATTGGTATCTCAGTTCATCAATCCTTGTAGATTAGATAGACTGAAAATATAAAAAGATGAAAAAGGATATATTTTGGATGATTTTCTTTCTTCATTTCTTATGTGTATATTCACCTATTCGAGCGTATTATTATTATTATTAAGTCACGATAGAATATAATCAATAATAAAAGTGAGTAAAAGCTCACAGTTACAACAAAACACCAATATTGAAGCATAGACGAGAAAAACTACATGAATGTTGTTTCCTTTAAAAAGAAGAAAAAGAAAACATACACGAAGCTTGATTTGCTTGGAAATTTGTACAATTAGATTGATTTTGAAGCAATTTCACGTACAACTTAAGCTTGATGTTGGCTTGTTTTGGCGACGAACAAGTTCTAATATTTAATTAATCTACGGCAAGCAAAGTCTTAAGAAGTCGTTTAACTCCCCCATCCCCCCTTCTTAACTAATCAAGGAGCCATTAATTTAGGGCTTTAAAATAATAGATAGAAAAACACAGTTTGGGTGATCTTTCAATCTTGTTTCTCCTCAAGTCTCTTTTCATTTTTATTCTATTTCTCAACTCTTTGAATAGTTGCATAATCTTCAATATGCAGAGACGTTCTCTATAAGTGTGAAAAAATAAAAAAGCAAGGAAAAAAAATTTCCTTGATGATGTTCAACGATAGCATTTACTCTCGTATTAAATGGCAATCCCATTATCATGTTTCAACCTTAAGTAGGTCTAATCTTAATTTAGATTGATACAAAGATTAACAGTTAGTGAAAAACACATACTACAAAATGAGATTAAAAACTGATAAGCTGAGGGTATAAACATAATTATGATATAGTATAGTACATGTTGAAAAACTCACACCAATAAAATAGAAGGAAAAAAAAGAAAGAAGAAATTAATTCCATAAAATGAATGGGGACGGATATTTATTTGCCATGTCTTGTCCTATCATGTACAGACATGAAATTAAAAAATATATATATATTAATCTGTGGTGATGATCGAATGGCCAAACAAAACCTTATCATTTCAGCATTTCATTTTGGCTCTCTCTCAGTACAAAATCCTTAAAAGCTTTTGTGTACTATGTAAAATAATTTCCACGGTAATTCTAACATCGATTAATCTGTAAAAAGAAGAAGAAGCAGAAGAAGAAGAAGAAGAAGAAGAAGAAGTCAATTAATAATATTTTATAAAATGACTAATTAGCCTTAATCTTAACCTTAATTAATCTTCATGATTATATATTCAAAAGAAAATACAATTAGCAACCAATAATTAGAATGTGCAAAATGGCTTATACTAATCAATTACATTTGGAAATCTTCTTGGGATTTTATATATATATATATATATAGGAGAGCAAATGATTTTGACTTGTGATATTTAATTCATGGCCTTCCCACAGAAAACCTCACAGATACACCTTCATGTTGCAAAGGACCATCCTGGGTTGGATTTTGATTTTTAATCTTGGTTGTTTATTTGTCATCATTATTCATCAACAAAGACAACAAAACACGGTTTCTGGTGGCAGAAAATCTATCATATCTCACATACATGCAATTAAGCAAAAGCAAATGGTGGTGTTGACCATGTATGGTTTAATCTGTTAATGTGGTCTCTATAATTT